GAGCATATATATTTCCTCTTCAAGTTCTCCATGAAGAAAAGCGGTTTTTACATCCAATTGCTCAAGATGTAAATCAAATGCGACACACATCGCCGGGACAATTCGATTGTTGTCAATCTAACAAGCTGGTGAGAATATCTCGTTGAAATCAATGCCTTCTTTACGAGCATATCCTTTTACCACCGAGTCTAGCACGATATCTTTCTACTTGATCATTGGCATCTCTCTTGATCTTATAGACCCATTTGCAACCAATGGCTCGCGACCTTTTGGAAGTTCCACAAGATGCCATGTCTTGTTTTTATGAAGAGCTTCAATTTCTTCTTCCATAGCGACCATCCATAGAGGAGCTTCGAACCACTCACGGCCTCTTGAAAAGTTGAAGGTTCTCCTTCTTCACTTAGGAGACAATACGCATCATGACTTGTCATCACATATTGTGAATGCCAAGATGGTCCGACTCTTTCTCTTGTTGATCGTCGGAGTTCTCCTTCTTCCACCTCATTTGGCTCATGTTCTTCATGCTCCTCCTCTGACTCGGAGGAATGTTCGAAGTCTTCTTCTCTATCTGTACTATAGTCTTGTCCTTTTCCGAGTTGTCATTTATCCGCTTGCTTGCGGTTCATTTTACGCAAAGACGACATCTCTGCTAACAATAACTTTGTGGGCGGTGGGATCCCACAAGCGATACCCCTTCACATTGTCGGCATATCCCAAGAAGATGCATTTCCTGGATTTTGGATCCAACTTCGTCCTTTCTTGGGTGTTGTACATCACGTACGCGGGACAACCAAACACATGTAAGGAAGAATAATCGGTTGATTTTCCACTCCACATTTCCATAGGAGTTTTCAACCCAATTCTTGTTGATGGAGACCGATTTATCAAGTAACGAGCGGTATTCACGGCTTACGCCCAGAAAGACTTTGTTATGCACTGCGGTTTGCAGCATAGCTCCGGTTCTCTCTAGAAGAGTTCTATTCATCCGCTCTGCTACACCATTCTGCAGGCGTGTGTGGAACAGAAAATTGTCTCACAATTCCTTCTTGCTTGCGAGAATGCTAGAAAATCTCCATCTACATATTCTCCTCCATTGTACGTCCTCAAACACTTGATTCTCCTTCAGGTCTCAAGTTCTACTTGTGCTTTGAAGTCTTTGAACCGCGCAAATACTTCGGACTTCTTCTTGATAGGGTATACCCATAATCTCCTCGAGTAGTCATCGATGAACGACACAAAATATTTTGCTCCTCCAGAGATAATTCGGTGATTCCCGGACATCAGAATGGATCAAGTCCAAAGTTTGCTTACTCCTTGTGGTGGTTCTTGCAAACTTCAACCTGTGTTGTTTGCTTGTCACACAATGCTCACGAAGGGTAAATCGACCTTCTTGAGCCCGGGTATGAGATCACGTTCCGCAAGAATCTGCAGACCTCGCTCGACATATGTCCAAGTCTACGGTGCCACGTTATCGCCACTTCTTCTTGGCTTGTCGGCCGCGGTTGTTGCATGATTTTCTTGCAAGGTGTCTCCCATAAGCACATACAAGTTTGCCATGATTTTCTCTCGCTTTCATGACAACTATGTTTCCCCTCACTACCTTTAAGATTCCTCCTTCAACATGGATCTTGCAGTAGAGGTCATCCAATTGCCCTATAGACAATATATTTTTCTTCAAGTCCTTCACATGTCGTACTTCTTGGATTGTGCGAATAGTACCAGTCATACATTTTTAATTTGACGAGTACCAACTCCGAGCAATCTCCAATGCATGGTCATTTCCCATGAACACGGATCCACACGAGATAGGCTTGTAGGTTTGAAACCAATCTCGGTGTGGGGTCATATGCCAAGTTGCACCTGAATCCATTATCCACTTGTCATGAAATTCGTTTCCGCCATTAGAGGCGATTCGTTGCTTCGCTTACCGAATTACTCCTTCCTCCGAAGTACTCGCAATGCAACCTTGTGAGGTTGATTCTTCATTCTTCCTCTTCCAACACTCTTTCTTCGTGTGCCCTTTCTTGCCACGAGTAGTAGCATTTAAATTTGAAAGTCTTCTTGTTTTGAGAGCTAGATCTGCCATGATCTTGACTCCCACTTGAGCCACGTTCAGCTGATCTTCCTCTCATCATCGTCAAAACTTACGCTTGTTTAGAACTTTCTACCTTATTCATTCGCCTGGATTCTTCTTCTAGAATAGCTCCAGCAACATCGTCAAAGTGTAGTTGTCCTTCAATATTATTATTTGTAATGTTGATGATGAGTTGATCATACGAGTCCGGCAAGCTCGAAGTAAGAGCTCCGCACGCTCATTCTCAACTATGTTGAAATTTGCTCGCTGCTAATTGGGCAAACAAGGTGTTCGGTTGGTTGATGTGGTCCAGTCACCGATGTGGACTCACTCATCCGAAGAGTATAGAGTTTCCTCTTCGGGAATATCCTTGTGTGAAGTGACTTCACCTCATATAATTTAATGAGGGCATCCCAAATCTCCTTTGCGGAATCTTTCTCCGCAACACTTGGATAGAACCGAGTCTGCCATTGCCAAGTGTAAATTTGCAATAGCGTTCTAGTCAATTTTCTTCCAATCTTTATCCAGTCATTTCGCAGGTTTTCCCTCGATTGCTTCTGCGCAATTGTCCTTTCTCAAGATTGCCTTCATCTTCAATTTCCACAACGAGAAATTGTTCCAGTTGAACTTCTCTATCTCGTACTTTGTCGCCATGGTTGTATACGGACTTATGCAACTATCACTTATAAATAGTATTGTCTACCGGAACAATAGTAGTAAACCAGTGAACCAAGTACACCAAGTAGGTTCCCAGGAAAGAGAGGTGGGTCACTAATGGACACGCTTAAGTACCAAGTCTTTCCTAGCCGAACTTTCCTCAATAGTACTTTCACACTACCACACCTTTTCCAAGTAACAACTCCTTTCGATGTGGAAGATCAGATTAAGCTGCAACCACAGAGCATACTCGAATTTTACCAACACTATTCTAGTGACGCGCAACGGAACTTCGAACACGACTCCGATACCATCTGTTAGGATCGAGTACCAAGCATAAATACACACAACTAAAATAGAGATGAGAAAAATAACCACGACAATAGGCAAAAATGAAAATTTTATAATGACCACTCTTTCCTTTTACAATTGGAAATTACCAATACTAGGAAAGTAAAAGAGAAAGAAGGAGAAATATTTGGGATGTTTGAAATAAGGGGGGAGGGGCTCCTTTTATAAGAAGGAGGAGAGCCCCCAATTGAAGTTCCCACGGATGTGGGACTTCTTCCTTCACAGATATTTGGTTTATTTTAATATAAGACCTTTAATATTCATTTTTTTATAACTCTAAGACATGTTGCACATATCTATTGAAGAAAATAAATTTCTTACCTTACTTTTTTTTTTCCATTTATAAAACTGAAACTTAATAAGTTAAGAAAATAAAAATTCTTATTTGAAACATTTCGAAAAACCAATGAATCAAAATTGGATTCAAAAGAAGGAAATATCCACCACGAAGTAGTTAGCCATATTTGAATTCAATTAACTGACTTATTTTTGTCCTTATTAGCTCATAAATTATATGTTTTTGCTAATTTCTAAGTATTTAATTAATTTATAGACTAAAGATTCCTAACACTTGCACCAAAAACTAAAGAATCTATATATATAACTTACACATAGCCTACAAAATTAAGTGCTTGAAATTTTGGATTAGTTTATTTTGTGACTATTTTTCCTTTGGAATGAGATTTGAATCCATTGATGTTTGGTGAAAACTTAGGAAGTCGGTGTTGATGGTTCACGCGAGAGTGATTTATGTGATGATGACGAGGTCAATCAAACTGGAAGATATTAAGTTCATTTTTAATGTTATTTATTTTCAGGGCAAAAAAAGAAAAATGAAAGTTTTAAACATTGTATTTACATAGTGTTATTATTATTCTCCTCTTAAAAATTGTTAAGATATCTAATTCAATTTTTTTAAATTATCAAGAAAGGTGACGTTTACATTATCTTATATACTATAATAATATTATATCTAATTCACGTATAATTTTTAATAATCTACGTTAAAAAATAAAAATTATATATTATTATTTTCCACTATGATTTATTTTTAAAAATAATTAAATATCTAATTCAATAAGACGTTATTATAATGGTATCATATTGATACGAGATTTCTCAGAATCCACGTTATAAAAAGAAAAGTTATACATTATTACTTTAGACTTCGATACACGTTTTGAGAATATTTAAAAAAATAATCCTCAAGTCTCACTCAAAACACATTTTATTTAACATTTTGTTTTTATTTATATTGTGTTCCCAATTGTAACTCCAATCATGTTATCCTTAACTTTGGCTTTTTGTTGTGTTTGTTTTAAATAATTTTCTTTATTTAACATAATGTAAATTTTGTACTATAAGTATAATTGATGAGATTGAGTTAAATTTAAATTTCATAAGATATCGTAAGGTTTAGTGATATATATCGTGTCACTCGTCTAAATCACCCACCCATATTTAATTTTATGATCATATTTCAGAAATACATATTCAAGTTATCCAATAACGTGGATGATGTGTTAAAAATTTCCTATGACAAAATTTAGTATATAATTATGAGTATAAGTTTCATTTTATAAATTATTATTTTAATTAATATTAAGTTCAAAGTTCGCAGTTTGATCCCTAGCTAAATTTGTTAATGAAAAAAAAAAATGATTTAGAGAGGAAATTTATAGTAAACAAGTTTTATGTATGGAAAAAATTAGTCTCCAAAAACAAAAAAAGCCAAATATTAAATACGCTGGCTGATCTCACCCATGTTGAGAAGTAGATTCTTTTTCACAAAAGAAACTTACACATATCCGTATTTCTATTCTATATATAGGGGTCATAAGAGTTTGATTGCATTGCATTGAAACATAAAAATTCATCTCCCTTAGAAAAGGAGTGAAGTGGAGAAAAGAAAACAAGAATGGAAGTGACCCAAGTACTGCACATGAATGGAGGCACAGGAGAAACAAGCTATGCAAACAACTCCTTGGTTCAGGTATAAACGTATAGCAAGAAGTAAAATCATGTCTCTCTTTTTCTTCGCTTAGGTTCATAAGACAAGTATATTATCAGAGAGCTATACGCATGCAGAAGATTGCATATATGATGTACTAATTCTTTGTATTTTTGGTCTGAACTCTGAATGAATGCAGCAAAAGGCGATTTGTTTGACAAGAGTTATGAGAGAGGAAGCAATAAGCAGCCTCTACCGCAGCATACTCCCGAAACGCTTAGCGATTGCAGACTTGGGTTGCTCTTCTGGACCAAATGCTTTGTTTGTGATATCTGAAGCCATAAAATTGGTGGAGAAGCTTTGTCGAGAACTGAAGCATGAGTCTCCCCAATACCAGATCTTCATGAATGATCTTCCTGGGAACGATTTCAACAACATCTTCAAGTCCCTCCACAGCTTCAAAGAGAAACTGAGGAGTGAAATAGCAGGTGAGCATATGGGTCCATGCTTTTTCACTGGGGTTCCTGGTTCTTTTTATGGCAGAATCTTTCCCGACAAAAGTCTGCATTTTGTCCATTCCTCGTACAGCCTTCAGTGGCTATCCAAGGTATCACGTAATTTCGATAAAACCATTATTGCATGTTTGAAAATTCATTTTAAGTAGTTAAAAAATATACCTACCTATAAGTTAATCTCATTCAGCACATGCAACATATTATTGTATAATATTTTCAAAAAATAATAATGAAAATGAGTATATATTAGAAGAATTTTGTTTCTCAAAGTTATGGGTTTTTTCAAGTCTCTCAAACTTTGATAGATCAATATGTAAATTCTCAGATATCCATATCTAGTGTCCGATATTATCTTAAATGGTTCTTTTTAAATGACATATGAAAAATAAAATAAAAAAAAAAGAAAATCGCGATTCACATCAATTCAATCATCATATTACAATCCAAATTATTCAAAAAGTTAATTGAAGTTCAACTTGCAAAAAGAGTAATCAACTTATAATCTAATCTCATTAGAAAGATAATAATAAGTTACATATCATAAATGTTTTTTGTGAAGTCCACACACCAAAGTATATGCAAAAATCAATACTAAAAATCAAATAATAAATCTAAAATATAGTTTTTGTATTAAAAAAATGTTATAACTTAATTGAATTAAATATTGTTAGAAATTTTTTTATTATAAATATTATATATAAAAATAAATATATATCTAGTGCACGATCTAAAATAATGTTTTATAGAAAGAACAGACATATCTTTCAACAAAAATATATGTATACACATATTTTTTAATTTTGTATTTTTTTTTAATAAAAACAACAACAAATAATATATTTCATGATTAATATTTGGTTGTTTAATAACTTAAATTACAATATATATATATATATATATATATATAATTATAATGATATTTGAAAATTGTATAATATTATTAGCAAAAGGGAAAAATAATAATATATTTATCCATTAAAAAATGTTTGATAAATTAAATTGTAAATAAATATGTAAAAATAAATTAAAATGCTTTCGAAACCTTAAATGGTTGGCGCTTAGGCCACACAACCTGGTTAGCTTTTTAGGTCTTAATTAAACTCCATCTCTAGTCTTAAATATTATCAATTGTTGTCCGTGGTTATTTTTTAAGTATATCCAATTGAGAAAAAAAAATATTTGTTGATGAGAGCAAACTAACTACAAAGTTGCAGATGACATAGTGAAATATCTTAACATATTTAAAAATATTTTAACATAGTATTTTTTTTATTATTTATAAATGTTCATTTGACTGAAGAATTAATTGAAAAAGTGTTTTGATTTAATACCGAAACTTGAAAGATATACGTAAACCAAAATTTTCATTTTAGTCTCATATCTATTTATTTTCTTATAGTGAAGATTAAAATAATGATTGTTGATTTGATGATTAATTAGGTTCCTGAAGGTTTAGAGAACAATAAGGGTAACATTTACATGGCGAGCAATAGTCCCTCAAACGTTCCTAAGGCTTATTACGAACAATATAAAAAGGATTTCTCGTTGTTTCTAAAGTGTCGTGCAGAAGAACTGGTGGAAGGGGGTCGTATGGTTCTCACAATTTTGGGAAGAAGAAGCCATGATCCATCTAGCAAAGAGTGTTGCTATATATGGCAGCTTTTGACTATGGCTCTTAAGCATATGGTCTCCAAGGTATACTTATGGAATGATGCTTTTTTTTTTTTTTCTTCTAAAATAGTGTTTATAGTGTTTTTTCTTTGATCCCACAGGGAAGGATAAAAGAAGAGGAAATGGACAGTTTCAACATCCCTCAATATACACCTTCTCCATCTGAAGTAGAAATTGAGGTTGAAAAGGAAGGTTCATTCAGCGTTACGAGTCTGGAAATATCTGTACTACCTTGGAATGCTTTTGATTCCGAATATGGTAATTTGTCTGAATCACTCAGAAATGGAGGGTACAACGTTACAAAGTGCATGAGGGCTGTAGCAGAACCTTTGCTCATAAGTCATTTTGGAGAAGCTATCATTGAAGAGCTTTTTGCCCTCTATCAACAAATCTTAACTGAAACAATGTCTAAGGAGAAAACCCAATTTGTTAATGTCACCATATCGTTGATCAGAAAGCCTGATTATTAAGATGTTCTTTGCATATGTGTATAGTTTCTCATTATAAAATCAACCCCATAAAATTTTCTCCATTGTTGTTGCTGTGGTGTGCCACTGGCTTCTCATTAAAAGTAGGAAGAATATTCTGTATTGTGATTTATGGATGTTATTATAACTAGTTATCGTGTTTCATGAAAATGAGTTTTTTGTGCAGGGTTGTTGTGAAAGAGTATAATATTTATTTGGTTATTGAGAAACACTGAATATTAAAACTTTTTGGGCTCATAACCCTTAATCGTCATAGAAAGGAAAAAACTAAAAAATGGGCCATGACCCAGAGAATAAAATAAGAACCATGAGGGTCAGGATTTACGTCTCAGGCCAGCTAGAAAGTTCCCCTCCACTGAAATAGCTTTCTCACGCATTGACAAAAATGAAAGCCATAAGATATATGATTTTCTGTCTTTTTACTCGAAAAATACGTTGGTCTTAACAATGTGGAAGTGGAGATGAACAAAAATAAAAATAAAATAAAGATTTCATCAACCAAGAACAGTCAAATTTTAATAGAAAGTCATGTTAAGAACACATCAAGTCATTACCACAAACGAAATATCATGTACCGATTGAATCTCTTATTTATTTATTTCATGAGGGATGTAATAAGGAATGAACACATAATTGTCCATCAAACAAACAAGTAAGTGAAGAAAAACAATTATAGAAATTTAATAAAAAGATAGTTGAATTATTATATCTTACTTTTTAATAATTAGTAATAATAATTAATTTATAAACTATTATATATTTATATTTTTTTAATTTATGTTATATTTGAGTATCCTTTTATTCAATAATTTAAAATAACTGTTAATTTATTCTTAGAAAAATAAGTTCAGTTATCTATCTTACAGAAATGAAAGGATATTTAATAACTCTACGTTATATAAAAAAGAGAGTTTGGTTCAACCATTCATTGGAGTTAGCTGAGTTGACAATGTCAAGTAAGAATTATTAGTTTACCAATATATATATATATATATATATATATATATATATATATATATATATATATATATATATATATATATATATATATATATATATATATATATAAAGAGCAAATAATAAGGTTATTGGTCCAATAAATTCTCAGGACTTCATCTAATTAAGTTGAAAAAACTACCTTATAGAAATAGAATTCCAATCAATCATTTGACAATTGGCGTTTTCTCCACTTGACTACTCCTATGATCTCAATGAACAATTCCAACCCTTTCGTTTTCAAGCAATGTCACTTCAAAGGGAAAATGCAAGTTGCAACAAATTGCAGACGGCAAAATCAACGTACGCATGTGGGATTACGCACGCCAACAGAACAAAAGACAAATGTTCTTCAAGTTTAGCCAGGGACGGTAAACCATACAAGAAAAAACTGTTATTTCCTCGTTTTGTTTGGTTCACCTGCAATAATATATCTCTTAACAATCAAACTCCAACGTTGTTGTTAAGTTCACAAAGCCGGTTGTGTCATTTACTAGCGCGATCAGAAGAAGCAGGTGGGTGATTATTTCTCCATGGTTAAGAAGACTGTCTTGAAGGTTGATATCAGTTGTGGCAAATGCAAAAGGAAACTCATCAAGACTGTATCTTCACTTCAAGGTAATCAACCCCAACACTTTCAAAAGCCTTTAAAGGTATACAATTTATGTATTGTTATAATTAAACTAATACCTTGCAGAATTTTAATTTTTATTCCATTTTAGGGGTGGATAAAATTGAAGCTGATGAAGGGAAGGGTACGTTGACCGTGACAGGGGATGCAGACCCATATGAAATAATAGTTCGCATTAGGAAAGCTGGGAAACATGCTGAAGTTGTGAGTGTTGGGCCTCCCCCGGCCCCTCCAAAACAAGACCAGAAGAAGCCCGAAGATAAAAAGCCCGAAGAAAAGAAGAAGCCCGACCCAGTGAAGCAAGAACAAAAACCGATTGAGCCCTATATGCAGATGCCATATTACTACCCACCACACCAACCAGTAGTGGTGTACATGAACAGAATGGAGGAGCCCAATCCATCTTGTACTATATTGTGACCAATGTTCGGATTGATGAAGATTGGTAATAATATCTGTTAATGGTTAAAAAAGTACTTTGGATTTTAAATTTGTAAAATCCTTTTTGTCGTATCAGTAAAAAGGAATTATATATTAACACTTTCAAGAAAAAAGAATGATGAATCATCACCAAGAGTCAGGAACACAATTTTAAGTGTTGATTCTAATTATGTATTTTTATGATCATGCTATGTTAGATGAACTAATATGGTAAGGCAATTTGATTATTTCCCTGCATTGAAGAGTAATCGTGTATTTCTTGCTAAAGCTGCCAGTGTTTTTGTAAAATGATACATATAAAACAGATTAGTTTTTACCCTCTACGATAACAATTACGTGTTTTTGTTCACATTTGATGAGTAAGCTAAATAATGCTTGGCTTGTTTTCTTTTATGACACTGATCTTCCTGTAAGTCCAGATGAACAATATTGGTGAATACATCTTAAATTGTGTGAAAGATACCATGGTTTGTTTAATGCCTTAAAGATAGAAGGATCCATGAATTGTGTCCCTTCTAATTAATTAACATCGAAATGAATCTTATGGCAGCGTAATAATAACAGTTACGATAGAGTATAACTAGTTCAGTTGAGCACTTAAGTTCAGAGTTTTATGAGAATCTGCACAGTATCTCACAGAGTACGTATGTTCTTTGTGCGCTTCAAAGTTGTGGTGCCGTGTAGAAACTTTACACTCCGTATCATTGCTGCGGCACAGTTGGTCTGCCCATTATCCATAGGACTCATCAAACTTCACATTGGCTAGCCATACTTTTAACTTACCCCAGTTGCATCTGATTCCATCTGTATTTAGAAAATCACTTTTGTAAATAACCAGTACGTCACATTATGTGGGCAAATACAATTAACCCGTCCAAATATCAGTTCGGGAATCATGATACAAAGACAACATGGCCTTAGAGACAACAACGCATTATTTCTCTTATCTGTTGCATTGGACGCAATCTATATTGTTTTCTCCTTCAAACTTTTGTAGCCTTTCACACAACATTATTTAGCCAAATTTAGTGACAAGTACAGCTGTCGGGGACAATGGTTCAGATGAAAGATTTTTCTCTTAATGCTTTGATTTTACAACCTTGTTGAAATTAATAAAATCATTAGTATAAATTGTTCGGAATACAAATACAAAACAAGAGGAAAGTAAAATAACAAGAACACAATTAATTCACGTGATTTAGTCAAAATAACCTACGTCCACGACTGCATTTAATGATAGTTCTCATTTACCTAATTAGATTTACAATTATATGAGTATTTATAATAAAATAATAAGTAAATGAATCAAGTCTAATAATCTTTCAGACTTCACATACTTAACAATTTCTCACTTGGAGACTAATTACATAAAGTACACTCCAAAATAAATCTAGTAATTCTCAAAATTACAATAACATCAAACTAATGCTTGTTTTTTGAACAATTAACCATGAAGACTAGTTGAAGTTATGCAAAACTTCAGCTCCTCGATAGTAACCACCTTGGTCAACATATCTATATTTACCATCCGAAAAAAGGAAACAACGGAGTTCTTATCTACAAAAATGTCTTGAGAAAGGTGAGATGTATAGAACCTTTCAACAAGATAGTGTTTTTTTCAACTTTTTCAAAATGGAATCTATTCTAAACATATATACCATAGTTCCTTACCTTGACGGGGTACAAATATCTAAATTTCATATTTTTAAATATTTTGATTCAAGGATTTTCTCCAAAAATAAAGTATAATCACTCATTAGTCCTTTAATGAAGTGATACTTCAACTGGATGTGTTTTGTTCTTGCATGAAAAATAGGATTTTTTGCAAGATGAACGACACTCTAACTATCGCAATAAAGAATATTGTCACATTGCTTCTTGCCTAGCTTCTAAAAAAAAAATTTCAACTAAATCATTTTCTTACTGGCTTCCGAAATAGTCATGTATTATGTTTTTGTGGTTGAAAGTGCAACACTTTTCGAAGTCGAGACATCCAACTAACTCGTTGTGCCACCTATTGTGAACAGTGGCGGATCTTGATCATTGATCTTGAGGAGGTCAAATAATATATTATTAATAAATAATAAATAAATATAAAAGAAAGAAAGAATATGAAAGGTTGAAAAGATAAAATTATAGATATATACTTAAATATATTAAATGATCATTAAGTTTGAGGGAAACAAAATTATAAATTATATGAGAGTTACAAAATTGAGGAGGGGCTGAGAGGATAAAATTGTAAATATACAAGTAAATATATAAAATGCTCATTATGTTTGGGGGGGCCAAAATCATAAATTACATTGGAGTTACAAAACTTTGGGGGGGGCCACGGCCCCCCTCAGCTCCCAAGAAGATCCGCCACTGATTGTGAAGACAAATCTTGTAATATCCTTCTTTATGTCTAAACAACCTCCCAAATCTGCATCAAAATATCATTTTAAAATGACATCATTTCTTCTAAAATATAATGCAGTTTTAGAAGTATATTTCAAGTAGCGTAATAACCACTTAAAAACTTCTCAATGCTTCCTTCCTGAATTAGACATGAATCTACTAACAGCTCTCACTGCATGAGCAGTGTAGTGCATACCATTACATACATTAAGCTACCAACTCCAGATGCATAAGAAACTTTAGTCATTATTGTCTTATCTTCATCTGTCTTAGGTGACTCCTCTTGAGTGAGATTAAAGTGAACTCCCATATGTGTACTTACGATTTTGACATCCTGCATATTAAATTTTTCTAACACTTTACTAATATACTTCTCTTGAGATAATATTAGAGAACCTTCATTGCTGGTATTCATTGCAATACCCAAATTCTTCATCTCAAACTCTTCAGACAACTGTGCTTTCAATTAATTAATTTCATCGATGTTAGAACCTACAACTAACATGTCATCAACATACAATAGTAATATGATACAGGATGAACTAAAATTTTTCATATAACAACACTGATCCATGATACACTTCTTGTACCCTATCCTACTCATAAGATTATCAAACTTTAAGTCCTACTGTCTGAGTGCTTACTTCAACCCATACAAACTCTTGGTTAACTTTCAAACCAAGTTCTCTTTCCCTACAACTTGGAAACTCTCTGGTTGCATCAAGTAGATGTCCTCATCAAGATTACCATGTAATATAAGAATATTGTCTTAACATCTAACTGTTCTAGATGTAAATCTTCTGCAGCCACAATATTCAATACAAGTCTAATAGTAGTCATTTTAACTACAGGAGAAAAAATCTCATTATAATCCATACCTCTTTTCTGCTGAAAGCCTTTCATCACTAACATTGTCTTGCATCTCTTATTGTCATCATGTTCTTCCTTGATCCTCAAAATTCACTTGTTCTGCAGTGCCCTCTTTCCTGTTGGTAGGTCAGTCAAACACCAAGTTTTATTTTTCTCAAGTGAGCTCATCTCCTCTTGCATGACTAACCCCCGTTGAGTTGCATCATCCGTTTGCAATATCTCATCATAACACAAAGATTCTCTATCGTCAGTCAACAATAAGTAATTTGTTGAAGAAGAAAACTTGTGAGGAGGCTTAATAACTTTGTTGGATCTCCTCACTTCAACTACTAAGGTGATAAGGGTAGTCTTCTCAATAGTTCTATCGCCAAAGCTCCTACCTTTTCTTGAAAGATCGTCTTCTGTAATATCCTCTAACACTACTTTTTCCTTCTCTGTTGGCTTCTTTTCAACTTTCACTTTTGTCTCAAGTTTATCCTTGTACATTATATTTTCATTAATGTAACATTTTTGCTTCTAATGATCTTTTTGTTCTGATCATCCCAAAAGCGATATCTCATATCATCTGCTCTATAGCTAATAAAAATGCACTTTTTTGCTTTCGGATCAAGCTTGTCCTTGTTAACATCTTTAACACGAATATAAGAAGCACAACCAAATATTTTCAAATGAGAAAGACTTACATCCTTACCTTGTCATTCTTCCTCAAAAATCTTAAATTTTATGGGAACTGAGGGTCCTCTATTAATGAGGTATGATGGTGTGCTCACTGTTTCTACCCATAATATCTTCGGTAAGCCTGTATGAATTCTCATACTTTTTGTCATCTCATTCAGGGTCCTATTCATTCTAATTTCATTCAAATGAGAAAGACTTACATCCTTACCTTGTCATTCTTCCTCAAAAATCTTAAATTCTATGGGAACTGAGGGTCCTCTATTAATGAGGTATGATGGTGTGCTCACTGTTTCTACCCATAATATCTTCGGTAAGCCTGTATGAATTCTCATACTTTCTGTCATCTCATTCAGGGTCCTATTCATTCTAATTTCATTATCAGTACATTAATAAACAAATTTAGTACTCCTATATTCACCACCATTATCAGACTTTAAACATTTAATTTTTAACCTTGTCTCATTCTCAATAATGAATTTCCACTTCTTAAAGGTATTAAATACTTATGATTTTTGCTTCAAAAAATAAACTTATACCTTTCTAGTGGAATCATCAATGAATGTGACATAGTATCATGATCCTCTCAATGATGAAACTGATGTTGGTCCATAACATCTAAATGAACAAGTTCCAACTTCTCTACCTTGGGAATCCTCCCTGACTTTGCAAAAGTAACTATTTTTTGCTTCCTAAACACACATGATTCACAGAAATCAACTTCTACCTTCTCTAGTTCTAGAATCTTTCCCTTTGAGACTAGTATGTTCATACCATTCTCGTTCATGTGGCCAAGCCTTTGGTGCCACAAAGTTGAAGAATGCCCAAAATCATCACCAACATCATCACTAATTGAATTTACTTCTTCTGTAGGTAATTCTGTCATGTATAGGGTTCCTTTCTTTCAATTACGAGCAATAATTAGATAACTATTCACTACCTTCCATTTGTCTTCTCCGAATATGACTCAATATCCTTGAACATCTAACATACCCACAGTGATTAACATTCTCTTGAGTCTTGAAATATATCTG